ACATTGAATTTCAACGAGAAACTAAATTCATGTTCAAATATTGTTAGGAGACAACGTCTGTTCATTTACTTCTTCTCATAGTTATATAAACCAAGAATATAGCGAAAAAATTAAAGTGTTCATCTTAGCTTTTATGCACAAAATAACTTTTCTCATTGAAAAGAAAACTGAAGGGGTGCAATGCTTGAATGCACTTGGGAAGAAAATAAAACTAATCTTACCCATCCAAGGAAAACTTACTACAAACAATATACTCGAACATATTAAAGTAGTACTAATTCATCCCAAATTACTTTTATCATATGATAAAATAATTCTCTTTTTCATCTTGTTCTTTCCCCAATAAAAAGAACACAACAAATAGAAGTAATTTCCTTACCACAGAAAATACCAACAATAAATTTCTTAAGCTTGTTATCTCCTGTATTCAGATTAGCAAACCAGAAATAATAAAAGATGAAAAGAAAAACACAAAGAACTATCCGAGTCCACAGAACCCACAAAAATACAAAGAACTATCCGAGTCCACAGAACCCACTGTGTGTCCTTAAGAAATTTAATCCCCTCAAGTACCCGAGGTTGCAGATTAATTCCTCCCAAGATAAAACGGATTAACCATTAAAGAAGTAGCGGTACCTCAAACTTCGATAATTTCAACGAACTCAAAATGACAGCAACGAATCACACACACAGACACGATCGATCGATTTTGTTTTGTAAGAAATGTATGCAAAAGAATGGAAGAATTCGATGCAGAAAAATGAGAGAAAACCTCTCTTTTTATAGCCAACGAAGGGTAAAGGTCACAACCCTTTGAAAAGAAGACAACCTTTCAGAAAGGTCACAACACTTTGGAAAAGGCACAACCTTTCAAATGGTCACAACCCTTTAGAAAGGACACAACCTTTCATAAAGGTCACAACCCTTCAGGAGAGTCACAACTCTTCATTTCCTGCTCACACCTTTAAAACCCAACATTTTCAAGATTCAAAAATACATATAAAAGTAATTGTATGTTTTCAACCTTACACCTCTCAACTTATTGTTCCATCTAACCCTGCATGATGCCTAATCCTCAAAAATTGACACGTCAGCTAAAGCTCATGGATGACCAAGCACTACCAAAGATAGTAACTGCATAGCAAACCAGCTATATAGTTGTCCAGAAGAGACACAAAGTCATCTTAAAAGTACCAGTTTTAAAACAAAAAAAGAGACATAGAGGCCCCCACCACGAGGCACCGTGCCTCGAGGCCCCCCACCCTGCCCCGAGGCATCGTGCCTCGAGGCCCCCCGCCCCGCCCTGCCCCGAGGCATAGTGTGCTACTGATGTTGATTTTGGTGGCGATTTGGATGATCGAAGATCTATATCGGACTACATTTTATTCTTGGCGGAACAAGTATTTCTTGGTGCAACAAAAAGGAAGACTCAACATAATTATCAATTACGGAGGTGGAATATAAAACATCAATTGTTATTGCTTAAGAATCAAGAATGTGTATGGCTCCAAAGACTTTTCAGAGACTAGCATTTATCTATATCAAAGCCAAAGGAAGTTTTTGGATAAAATCAAAGTTTCATCAAGCTTGCAAATAATCCCATATTCCACACAAGAACTAAGCATTGAGGTGGAACATCATTTCATCCAACAAAAATTCTTGATGGAACTATTAACACTTTAGAAGTGTGATGTCAGGAAAATATTGATGATATGTTCACCAAGTTACTTCCTAAAAGCTTCGTTTGGGTTTTCATCGTCAAGCTTGGAGTAATTTCCAAAAAATTACATTAAGGAGGAGTGTGAAAAAATTAAAGTAAAACAGAACAAAACACGAAAATCTCATGTTGGCTAAGATAAGTACTGTACTTTTATTTTTTGTTTGAGGGTCTGATTTTGTTTCGAATTCGGAATTAATTCTGTAAAATGGACAAAGAAAGGTTTAAACAAGAAAACCACATCAAGAAAAATTTGACATGCTCATGGTGAAATGTTGATACTAAGTGTTAGCTTCGTGCCGGCACACTCTTCCGGTCTTCCCCTTGTGTGATCCTTCCATAGGATACCTAATTAGTCTATCTATGTCATGAAGCTTTGGACAATAAGGACATAGGCAGAACTCAGTGTGAATATACTTGTAGTCTGTGAACTCAATAGAACAAGATTGGATCCTGGTTACTGAATGAGACACTCAAACTTTTGGTGTAAAAAGCATTCTGTTTCAGAGAAAATCCACTATCCACCGAGTTTTGATCCATGTGTCATGGTTCTAGGTGTTTTCTTAGTTAACAAAAAGGAAAAAAAAAGATAATCTAGTGATTATCTGAACATACAGATTTTAGAAATGGTCGCTCGCGTTGTAACCTCCTACTCTGCAGATTGGTTATCCTAAATGGGGAACCATTGATCATGCTAGGCAAAATTGTGAGGGGAAGCGGTGCGTGTTCACTAGACTATGCCCCCTTTCCTCCTGTCTTCCCTTTTGTTTTCCTTCTAGGGTGTGTTTAGTACGAAGGAAAATGTTTTCTTGGAAAACAAGTGGATTTTTGATTTATTTTCTCATGTTTGGTTGGTGAGTAGAAAATATTTTTCGAAAAAAAATTTTAGTGTTTGGTTTATGAATGAAAAATGTTTTTGAGAAATATCTTTTATTTTTACTAGAGTAGAAAATAATTTTTGAAATTGAATTTTTTTTTTTAAAAACAAACTTAATTTTTTTTTCGGGGTGGGGGGA